GTGGGGTGTATGGTGGGTGTGGGGGGGTGGGGGGCGGAGAGAGAAGAGAAGTCTATAATATTTTCAATGCTAATTCTGAACTAAACAAACTATAACAATAAACATAGGCTAAAAAGCAGACCTCCAGAAACTTCTTGGAATTTTTGACAAGTAGAATATGAAAGTAAGTATACCTCAAGTGCACTTTGCATGGAACTCAAAGTCTCAAATTCAACAAAGCCAAAGCAGAATCCTTGCTGCAAAAAGCCAAAAACATATGACATGTAAGGCTACATCAAAGCATCCTCAGTTGGATTAGAAAGTGCATCAGGCATATGAAGCAGACCTTACTACTCCTGACTTGGATCCCATCACGCTTAATAGGTCCAAATTTCTTAAACTCCTTCTCAAGTTGTCCCACTGTTGCATCATATGGCAAATTCCGTACATGTATGGAGTGACCTTCTGCAGTAAAGAATAGAGATCAGACTTCATCCATGAAAAAGTACACGAGCGTCTCAAACTCAGGCAAGTGTTATGCAAGTTAACTAAGCAATCCGACCATTGAAAGCTGAGTATTATTTTATTTAGGGAAAAAGAAGACAGCAAGCTGAGTATCATTTACCTTCCTCATGAGCATTGCTGCTTTCAGGGGCAGCATCACCACTAGGAGCTGATGCCACTGGTGCAGGAGCTGGTTTTGCATAACCAAGGGATTGATGGTCGGTGTTTGCAGATATTGTCCTCACAGTGCGGGTAGGCACACGGACAGGACTGGATGCAGCATTACTTTTCATTACCTTCACCAAAATGAAGCTTCATTAGATTAAAACCAAAAATAGGGTTGACATCAAAAGTAAAAATACTTGCTCCCAAAAAAAAAAAAAAAACAAACAAAGGAAAGTGATTAGCCTAAACTCACAATTGATGCATATGATTTCTTTGGAACATCCTCCTGGGTTTCAGGGGCAGGATCAGGGGTTGGATCAATATCTGCAAGACCTTGATTCTGACTTGAGTAAGCTGGGGGCTCCACAATCTCTTCTTCAATAACTGATCCTTCATCATTATCTGAAGGATCACAAACTTCGGGACCATTATTGAGATCCTCTTCCTCAAAGGAAGTTGCATGATCCACCACAAGATGATCAGGAGCGTGAGTAGGCTCTGGAACAACATAGAAGCAATTTGAAAATGAAAGCTACAGCAAATAACAAAAAGGTACATCAAGAAAGAAAACTAATGCCAACCTGGTTCTGCTGTCAAGATAGCTTCTGGAGCACTTTCATTGATGCCGTTAACCAAGACATTATTGGTCTGCAAAGATTCATTGTCCTCAATATACCTAAAAACATCATTTAAGACATAATACCCCTTCTCCTGTGGAGCTAGAAAGAATGTTTGGGCAAATTTTCTTCCCACATTGTCCTTTCCAGTCAAGCATCCGGTGACGAGAACAATCACTCCTTTCTCATAAGACTCCTGAGAATCTGCGGTTTTTATTTCTGCCGTATAGTCTCCATAATTTAAGGACTGAATTTTTTGACTTATTGCCTGCTCGCAAAGATAATAAATGTTAACAAATGTAATATTTTTCATCAAAATTTCTTATTTACAATAATAGTTCAGGATTCTCAATCCAGTTTATATCGAGTCCAAGAGGTGACGCACAAAATTTGAAAATTTTCAAAACAAACAATAAGATTCCTATTTATGTGGAGTGATGTACTATATTGTTTCGCGAATCTAATTCAAACAGTTCTTATGTAATATAAACTCAGTAATACCTTTTAGTCTATGAGTAGTATCATATCAAAGTATTACCAGTTAGGGTGACAAATAATTGGTCCATAAATGTCAAAAATTGGAGCCTACACAGCATCAAATAAACATCCCGTCTACAGATTTGTTCAAAATTCATTCAAAGACGCATTTGATATGACAATGTATGATAGAATAGCTGCCAAAATCATGTTCAAACTTGTATAAAAAGGATATATATATATATATATATTTAAATTCTTACTATAGAGCCAAACTTTTTGTAATGCCTTAAAGTGAAAACTAAATTGGAAACATAAAGACAAAAAAAGTTGTCCAATCCATGTTAAACCATACAACAAAGAAATTTCAAGTCTCGATACTTGGTATAAATTTTATTTCCGTGATATCATAGTATACTTACTTGCATAGTTGTCACTGTTGCCATATTGCCATTGACATCTGTCCTGCTAAGAGAGCTGGAATCCTGATAAAACCTATGCACTAATTGTGGGGATTCATGAAGAATATGGTAATATTGCTCCACAAAGGCATTGCCAACAAGTTGGGCACTGGGAGCAGAGGCAGGAGATGCTTCCTGCATGACTATCCACGGAAGTTCAAATCCTGTAATGTTAGTAAAGGAACAAACTAATGAAACCAACTGGATGTCAAAGAAAAACATAATAACGACAAGAGAGCCAAAAGCAGTACATTTTTAATAATTCTTGACAAAACAATGCATTGAAATTTATTTTTAAACAAATTCGAATCACTACAAAAGCCAATAATGCATTGAGATTATCATATCTGTAACAAGAGAATCTGCAAAGTAATGATGACTACTATAAGAAACTCCAATAGCCAGATAAGCTCACACGAACACACTGCAAGTGCCAGCAGAATGCACAAAGGCTTTGCCTTTGAGCTCGGAAGACCAAGTACTACGAGCTAAAACGGTTTTGAGTACTCGATCAGAAGTACAATATCACAAACCATAAATTAGGAAACAATTCCTACATATATGCTCAAATCACAGAAATACTCAAACAATTAAAAGCAATCTTGCAAACCCAAAAGTCTTTTATTCATGTTATAATTATAGTAACCCCAGCAAAATCCCCAATGGAGCAGACCAAGTGATTTCAACCTCAGAAAAAGAAGGGTCAGCTAAAAACTGAAGCAGACCGAGAATTAAATACATCAGGATGATAACGAAAACAATATCTGATTACAAATTTGTGTTTGATGTAAAGCCCTATAAAAATATGAAAAACCCAGAAATATATCAACACTGCCATCCAAAGTAATCAAGAGATTGACCATGGAAACATGATATTGACAGATCAACCACCAGCATAGTATTTAACAAATAAAATTAAAGATGGAAATTAACCAGTGGAGGCAGTAAACATAGAGAGTGGATTCAAGAGAAGAATCTGGAGTACCTGCTTGGAAGTGATCTGAGCTTTAGAGCGGGGGAGATCTGTGGGCTTGAGAGGAAGCAAAGTGAAGTTGAAGAGAGAAGGAACAGTACTTGGAGGATAGGAAGGCAGAATGAAAGAGGAAAGATGCTGAAGGCTGAAGCTTTTTTTTAATTATATATTTGATGAGATCACAAGACAAAAGCGGTAGCTTCAGACTTTAATTTTATCTAATTGTGAAGGGGAAAAAAAAAAGTTACATATTTGTGGAGGTTCTTTTTCAGTTTCCTTGGAATAGAAAATACAAATTGGGTATTTGGAATTTTTTAATTGAGCTAGAAAAATGATGAGAGATTGATTGGTGCCTTGATTTTACTTTCTGAATTTAGGGACAGAAATTTTGGGATATTATAATGTCCAAAATTTCTGGGAATGCAAGTCCATGATTTGATTTGGGAAGGAACTATCACTGCAGAATATACTGAACCCCTTCTGTTTTTTTTTTTTTTTTTGCTTGGTTTTGTTAACTTTTTTTTTTTTTTCACACAACTTTTATTACTATTTAGTAAGAAAATAATGACAAGTAATATTTACATTCTTAATAAATTCCTTTTTTTTTTTTTTTCTTTTTACAAGTGATATAAGAAGGAGGAATTCGAACTCAATAATTCGGTGCAAAGATAAACGTTCTTAACCACTTGAACGACAAACGCTTTAGTATGTAACAATATATTCAAACTAACAAAAAATTTCATATAAGATAACAACCTCAAAAACTCAAGTCATTAAACCATGGTAATGTACTAATGTTTGAAGGGAAGTATTCTAGTGTTTGGTGAGAAAATGGAACTATTTTAGAGACCACTTCTGCTTTAAAAATATTAATGAATAAAAAAAGCATTTGATGAGAAAATGGAAATTATGAATTTGATTTATTAAAAAAAAACACGTGCACATCGCAAAACTTCATTTCCATCGAAAAAGAGTCGAAAGTCCCCTCCTTTCTCAGTTCCCATCTGATCTGTATCTGAATTCTCAATGGCGAAGCCGGTGTCCACCGCCACCTCATCCATTGTCCAAACCCTAAAGCGGTACCTGAAGAAACCGTGGGAGATAACGGGTCCATGCGCGGACCCGGAGTACAAGCTCGCCGTACCCGGCGCGCTCGAGTACCGGCTCGAATGCCCGGCTTCGACCCAGGTCAAGGCCTGCGTGCCCACATCCAACCCGGAAACCGTATACGATATCAAGTACTACGCCCGGGACCAGAGGCGCAATCGGCCCCCCATTAGACGCACCGTTTTGAAGAAGGCTGATGTCGAGAAGCTAATGAAGGAGAAGAAGACCTTCGACGTCTCGGATTTCCCTCCGGTTTACTTGACCGATGTTATTGAAGAAGACTGCAACGCCCGAGGCGGAGGCTACCAGAAATGAATTGGGTTTGCTCTCCTTCCTCCTCCTCCTCCCTTAATTTCATTTTTTTTTTTAAGGATTTAATCTTTTTTTTTTTTTTTTTTTTGTGGTGGTATTATGAACATTGAGTAGAATTGTGTGTTTTAGCTTTTAGAGTTCTGTGAAAATGGACTAATACAAAAGTTGGAGTTTTTATTCGGTGTTGTGATAGAAATGGTTGGACTTTACGCATTTTGTTACCATCTCATCTGTTTATGCATGAATTTGATCCCTTTAGTTTGGTTAATAGATAGACTGCAATGAAAAAGGTTTGTTTTTTTTTTGTTCTGGGCTTTTCATGATGAATGTTGTATTGTTGCTTTTGAGTTTGCTTATGTCTCTTTTATGGTTGGGAATTTCATCGAACGGTCAAACTAGGATTGCAGTTTTGTTCTTTGTTGCTCTCCAAGCTTATGTTTTTGAGGTTTGATTGGTTAGTAATTGCTGCTTTCAGTGGCATTGTAGCTGTAATTTTGGATTAGTGCAATTTCATTTTCTCTTACACTGAAGGAGAATGTATTTTGCTTCATTGCACCTCTCTCTGAGTGCTCCATTGTTGTGACTTCTATTTCCTTTGGAAACCATGGAAATCTTTGCATCATCAGTGAATCTTTAGTTTATTCATAATATGAGATAGTAATTGCACCACAAATACTGTATTTTACACCTTAAACGTCGAGGCACATTCCATACCTCAATGGAGGATTGGAAATATGGCTCTGTTGCTTGGTTTTGAAACAGTTTACTGTTTTCTTTATCTTTTATTATGCAAAACTTAATTGAAAGAACAAAGATCTTCACTTAGTACCAAAAACCTTCTGTTGTTGTCTGTGACTGTTTTACCCCATGAATTTTGGGCATTGTTGCATGCATGGCTTTGCAAGGCAGGCTGGAAGCCTTTATGCCAACAAATTAGACATGAAAGCCTTGTAGGCAAAGAAAAGGCAATGATGAGAGCTTACAACTAGCTTCTCTGAACTCTCATCCCTAGTATAACACCAATTGTTGTGGAATTTAATCCAAAGGCACAACCTTTATACAGATATAATACAAAGATCCTGTGCTCCAATTTCATTGAAAACTTCGATTTGTTTGTTTCACATGCATTCAGCCAAAGTTTGGTACGGTCTATGCTCTGGCCAAGTTTGATGAGTATATCTTCATATTTGATTGGAGTGTTTGATCTTGCTTAGAATATATTTTGAGCTGATGCTTCTATCAGATATTGTGGCGTTTCATATTTGCACCAAATTTTAAGAAGATCACATGGTAACATCCATGAGGGTGGAACTCATGGTAGGACTAAAGAAAAGAGAGGATGTTTTAAATTTATTTTATGCTTGGTTGAAGGATGTGAAAGAAACAAAGAGAAAGACTTTAGTCGAGGACATATTCGAAGATTCAACAACCACAAATTTTATTTCCTCTACAAATCTCCCCAGTTTTGCAGAGAAAATAAAGCTTCCAGTATTCTATACTCTTCTCTTCGTTTCTATGTACAGTTAATCATCCACATGAGAGTAATTTTAAAATTTCTCTCCATTTCTCTCAACCCAAGCATGGAAATAGTAGTATAGCCTGCTTTCCATAGCAAGAATTGCTTTCACCTCATGTGCATCCATAAGTTGACCCTATACCATCTTTTTTGTTCTGTAGATCGTTGCCATCTCCTTTGGTTTATCAGGGTTATGTACTGGTGTTGCTTGCTCATTGCCCTCATGTTTATATTAAGTCCATTTAATAGTAAATGTATTGTGGTCTAAGTCCTTATCAATGACTCTTTGCTTTTTTATGTCTTCTTGCAGGCTTATGGCGTTGTGTAAAAATGTCTGTGCTCCAGTCTTTTGTTCCTCTCTTCTGCTCTGTCACTAAAGAGGTGCTGTTCGTGTTAGCATGGATGTTTGCCTAGTCTGCTCACATATTGAAATTCTGTGTTTGAGATGAATAAAGGGTACTTGATACAACCATTTGGCCGCTTTTAGTTGTCCAAGAATGTATTTGTATAAAATCCAAATGCAACCGCAGTTGGGTGATGGATGGCAGTACAGCTAGTTTCTTTAACTCCTAAGATTTCTACGTGTGATTTCTACTTGTGAATCTTGTTTGTCTCATTGTGATTTGCTTTCCCCAACTGCAACCATATGAAGACCTAGAAAGGGTGACCTCACTGCTCATTGTTGTCATTGTTGCAATACTCTTGATGCAGTTGGCTATATGCCTTGCTTTCCAAAGATTGATAAGCTGTCATTCATACAACCCAACTTATCTCAACTCACCCTTAATCCCAACGTCAAATGCCTTTCTTAATTAGCAGGATAAAAAGGCAGTAAGTAGAGTTTAATGCGCTAAACCCACATTATAGGTTTATCTGAACTCAGAATCCAGCGCCTGATCTTTATTTCATCATCGGCTTTCCTATCCTCGGTTTCTAGGAAGTCAGTGGGGGCCGTGATGGGGTGGAGATGGTATTGCCATATCGGGTTGGGCCCTGAACCGACATCCTAAACCCACTGTTCTGCCAAATCTGTATATGCACATTGTGCCCATGGGCCCTGTGTAAATCTTAATTTGTAGGACAACTATTGTTTCTGTTTATACCATTATAACTCCAGGCCCTCCCACACTGGCTAGCCACTCCAGGCGCTCTTGTAGCTGAATGACATCCTTCAACATAGCTCAATCCGGAAAACCCCTGTGACCAAGTTTTTGGATTTTAAAGACCGAGGGCTGTTAGAAATGGTACCATCTTGTCTTTAATAGATGGAAATACAGTTAACTGTTGTTGTTCTCCTCGAATATTAGGCTTAAGGTGGATGTGGATCTTATAATGTTCATTAGCGTTGTTGATTGATTGAGATTTTAAAACAGTTGTGTGACCGCCAAAGTTGGGTGACTTTTTGTTAATTAATAGATTAATAATCTTCTTGGCCACCCACCCTACTTACTTAATCCCTAGTTTCTAATTAAGGACCATGATAACAGCCATGCAACAAAGCCGTCCTAGCTATCTCGGAGGAAATAATCTTAAGAAAATTGGGTTAATTCGATGGATATTTTGATTCTCTAAGGGCTGCAATTTTCTGGACCGTCAAGTGTTCCCATCGCCTGCAATATTTCCAATAATTCTTACATCTTCTTCTTCTTTTTTGATACTTCACTTTCATACATGCTTGATGTTGGGCAGACGCAGACAGTGATGGTCAAGTTTGTTCGAAAAGCATTAGACATGATCGTAAAAGAAAGTTCCGTACGCACTCTATGAAGTATGAATCAAGCAAACAGATTAGTGTTGTCGTTTTACTGCAAAAGTTGGTATCCTGTAACTGTCAAGATTACCCTTATTTTTCCCACACATGAATTATAATATAGTATATAATGTTATTTTAAAAAACGAACTAGTTTCTAGTCTAGTCTAGTCTAGTAGTACTTCTTTTCGTGAGAAAATTTATATTGTCATGAATCGACCGGCTAAGATCTTACTCGGATCAATGGAAAACCTTTTCATTAGTGACAGTGCTGGGGATATACTTAATTAGATTGTCTTCTTCATATCTAATTTTATCTACTTTTCTGTGTGAAGAACTGCTTATTTTAGTTAAAAAACCTAAAGGAATAAGTAATTAACCAGACGAGATGATCGAGCTTAGTTAATTTTATATTTGTGGCATTGGAACCCATTGAATTTTCTCTTATGCCCGTTTTGCCCTCTGTGGCGGTATCTTTGTAATCAAGCTACTGACATAAAGGAGGTCATCGCGGGGAGAGTTCACAGGGGAAATGCATTTCACTTTCTGTAACAGGCTGGGAGGCAGCTTTGTGTTATTTACTGAGAGAGAGAGAGGCAGAAAAGAGAGGAGGGAGAGAGAGAGAGAGAGCACGCATTTATTTTTGTTTATGGTCATGTCTACCTTCTTTTTTTCCCCCCTAGGGTTTGGACCTGTCTCTTTCACGCTTCAGAACGAAAACAAACACCAAGAGAACCAAAAACAAAGACAACTAGATCAGTGCTTGTGAATGACAGATAAAATATCCCTTAAATTTCATTCACGCTGTTTGCACATATAGTTTTTTTTTAATGTTATCATATAATTAATTTTGAATTAATCAACTTGGTTTTCTATCAATATCTCCCCTCCCAATAACACAAACTCATATATAGTACATTAGACAATTGGAATTTTGGATGGATAATGGCCTCTCTCTCTCTCTCTCTCTCTCTCTCTCATACACTCTCATGCCGTCATGATGATGGTAATTGAGATAAATGTTGGTGCTGGCGACGTCAACTTTATTTTTCACTTTTCTGTCTAGGTTAAGATAATTATTTGTTCAATTTTATGGAGTGACCAAACAAGTTCAATTATGTTACAAATAATTTGGAATTTTTGTGGTCAAGTATTTTTTGGAATTTTAAGCATAAGTTGATGACATTATAATATGCCAATAGGAACCAAAATTAAAAATAAATAAAAAAGTAAAATGAGATTCTCATCTCAAGTCTCAAGTCTCAAGTCCGACTGTCTCCACTCTTTTTGCTCTGCAGCTGCCTGCATAACCAATACATGACCATGCAAGCATTTAAAAGATTAAAATGGCAGCAGCAGAGCAGATCGCTTTAAATGGGATTAAACGAACACTACAAACTCAAAGTGAGGATAATCAAATTGTTCCTTATTATTAGAAATAATAAATTGGTCCTGTGAAAATGTCAGTGTCGGCTGGTTCCTTTCTTGTCTTGAATGCATATGAAAAAGTAGACTTCAGCTTTTGATTACGATTGAACTGCAACTACATTAGTCTATATTATATTAAACGTACGTTCTCAATTATTTTGCTGAGGATTCCACTTTCCTTGATTATTTTGCCTGCGTTGTGTGGTTTCTTGATGAAGAAAAGCCTCTCTCTCTCTCTCTCTCTCTCTCTCTCTCTCTCTCTCTCTCTCAAACACACTATTTATACTTTATAGGAGCCATTGACTGCTAGAAAATGGGGCTAAGCAGGCCACAGATCACAAGGCCAATTGAAAGGAAACAATATGCAAAGAGTATAAATATATAATGTATAGTCTTCATGTGAGTTAATATTAACAAACTAGTGTAACTTGGGTTGTGAAAATCTCACTGCTATATATATATATATATATATATGATCAGTACATACATATACACATGTCGTAGTGGTCCCTCTCTCTGCATTCAGTGGATGCTTTAAAGAACCTGCTTTGGTCCCTCCTCCACTCTACGAAGCTCTACCCTATGATCTCTCTCTCTCTCTAGCTAGCTAAGCTACTTGAATAATCCCCTCTTGCATGTGAAGTATATACAACGCCAAACCCTAGCTACTCTTTACTTATATATCATGCCTTTCCTCATCTAAAATATTTTGTGGATCAAATATAGTTGTCTCGGATCAGAAGAAAGGGATTGTTCATAAGAAAGTATATTAAGTGGTACATTTCCCTAAATTGTATCGACATCTTGATGGGATCACTCGAGCTAAACTCTATTAATGAACAGTTTAGGACAATATCGATACAATCTCTGCTAATTAAGTAGGTGCGAAGATTATATACGTCTCGAAAAAATTGTCTAAATTTACAAATAGAGAAATAATAATATTCTCTAAAACCTTTTTTATATAAAAAAATAAAATAAAATAAAATTATATATCAGACATCCTCTTTACCACTAGTTAATTAGGGTTGTATATGTATATTTTTCTTTTCTTTCTGATGTGTGGTTTCTTGATTAAATTTATGTAGCTATAGGCATGCCTTGTACAATTCATGCTATGTGGAATACACCAAGAAAGCTATTTGTAGTTGCCGATAAAGTGTAAGAGGGAGGGATGGTCCCCCTTAAAAATAAACCAATATCTAGATAGACCTAGCTAGACAGAGTCTATTCAATAATAAACTACGACCAAACTTATTCATTTATTAAGCAGTGATTGTTCAGTCTCTGGTATGAACAAATTGATGAAATTTTTACTGCGGCTTCCCAGATTGACTTGTCAACATAAGGGGAGTCCACGTGGCTATAAATGTGCCATACCTTTTCCTTTTTCATTCCCATGCAACATGGTGCGGTAAATTCTAGCTAGCATCTTTTTCTTTACCAAATTGTGAATTCTTTTTTTAAAAAGTTTATATTCTCTCTCTCTCTCTCTCTCTCTCTCTCTCTCTGCGCAGCTAAGAACCCCTAGGATGTTGAATTTGGTATACAGATGAGCTACACAAGCTCAGTAAGAAATTCAAGAGAGCATCATATATATGCATACTTAGCAAGAGGCTCAAAGCACTGTAGCATCCTCTTCCTCTCCTACTTCTTCTGCTTCCTTGCTTATTACTTAATTAGTTTTGGACAGCTCTGATCTCAGCTGTTGCAACCTCAGTTTTCGGTCTGATATGTGAGTATGGTTCATCTTCTGGTCCTATTTATGTATACCTTCCAACTTGGATTGATAAGAGATAAAGGTAATTTAGGGTTTCCAGTGTTGGAATTCGTATGAATTTCAACCAGCTTTTCCTCATCATGTTACTTCTCTTGAATGTGATACCTAAATTTTCGACAGTTCAGATTTCAGTTCTTTAATTAGCTTCTTTCAAAGATTAAAGTGGTATTTAGCAGAAGTTTGTGGCCATTCATTTGGATGTAATATTAACAACTGATCACCTCCCTACATGTAATATCTGCTCAATTTTCAGATTTGCAGATATGGGACAACCTTAATTGGAGGATATATATATATATATATGCAAAAATATATAGCTCTTTGGATCTTCGATGAGAATGTTTTCTTTCTCAAATCGAACCGATCACAGGTCAACTAGTTCATCATAAAGCAATTTTGCAAAAGAAATTAACTCACATGGATTCTAATAAAGAATAATCTTATAAAAATGAAACAAAGACTTCCATGTGCCGTCCAACAGTTTATTTTTCTTCTTATTCTTCTTCTTTTTTTCTTTTCAGTTGAATCATTGGAGCTCAAAGATGGGAGAATGATGTTGGACTTACAAGGATTTGAGCAATTGATGAAAGAAGTATGAGCTTATAATCAGAATTGCGTACAATGATATCAAATTCAAGGGAAAAGGGTTTCCAAGCAAAGCAAGAGGGCCACAACAACACCAATAATGATGGAAACAGTAGTAATTTCAACAAGGAATCAT